TCGGCGTGGCTGCCTGCGGCTGCGGCCACACATCTTGGCGTCCTGGAGGCGGAGATGCTGATGGTGGCATGAGTCATCACTGGCTGCCCGATTTCCATGCTCCAAGACTCGCCGTGAGGGCCGAGGCGGGCGTCGTGCCGATGGAGAGATGAGGAGGGATGCGCTGGCATCGCGCCTACTGGCGAAGGCGCTCTCCCTCCCGTCGGAGGACCCGCCGCGTCGTGGCGGAAGCCCCCCCCCCCCAACCGTGACTGAAGTCAGTGACCGGCTGGAGAGAGCGCGGGGGAGCGGTGTGGGACCACTGGAGTGGCGCTGCCCGCCGAGGCGCGCTTATCCACGAGACTGCCCCCGTAGACGCCAACAGACGGCGTCACGGTCCACCTGGACCGGCTGCCGATCGGGGCGTCCGCGACAGCGAGGAGGAGTGCTGCGGAGGCGTGCCTGGGAGCGCTCCCCCAGCGTGCGACGTGGGCCTGGGTCGACGGGTCTGCGACCGGGGGAGTAATAGGAAGGCGGCGCTGGGGTCCTCACCGAGCACCCAGACAGTACAACATTGGTACTGCGGGAGGCGGCGGGGAGGATTTGCTCCAGTTACCGATCTGAGATGGTGGCGCTCAAGACGGCAAAGCAACATCTCCTGGAGCACCCGTCCTTCGAGGAAGACCCCATAATCATTTGCTCCGACTCGCAGGCGTCGCTGGCGACGCCACGAGGTGGACAAGTGGCCCAGACACCCCCCCCCCTCATCCCCTAGGTGCCGGCATCTGGGAGTATATGATGGCCCTAGTGGCTGTAGGGGGCCGAATAATCCACCATTGAAGGAGGGCGGCGATAGCCCGATTAAGCTTGGCGTCCAGTGGAGCCTCGGCTCTATCATGGGCATTGGGCAAGGACTCTGCGAGCACCCCCGTCTCCTCCATCTTCGACGGCACTCCAGTCAGAAAGCTGTCCCCACCCGAGTTTCCCAGCAGCATGGGCCACATGAAACCGAACAGCGCCGAGCCGCTCGACGCTGAGGACCAGGCGAGAGTAACAGTGAAAAGGTGAAACGCTCGAAACGGCGCGCGCCGCCGGCCGAGGGCGCCGAGCCGGCCCAGGCCGGCTGCGGGTCAAACAGAAGCCGTCTCCGCGGCGGCCGCCCAGTGACAGCGACTCGGACTGACGTCGAGGCACCGCTGCCGCCTCCGCCGACCAACCCGCCGCCCAGCAAGGGCAGTTTGAAGGCGGCTGCGCCGGTGAAGGTGGCGCGGCCTGGCAGGGGCCGCGGCCGGCCCACTCCCAGCTACCCGTCCCGCGAGGTGCTCAGTACCACCGACTCGTCCGATTCTGAGGCAGCGCCGTCGGCGGGCCGCCGCCAGCAGTGACGACGACCGGCTGGCGGCGTTCGCGCGGGACTTGTCCGACTCCTGGTACTCGGACTTGCCGCCCAAACTGGACGCCGGCGGCGTGAGCACCAGCAACGCCAATAAAAAGTCCACCTTCATCCGGCTCTTCTCGCACCGTGTCAAAAGGACTACGCCGCGCGGCCGGCCGGCCAACTCGAATGAGCGCAGCGAAGGGCACACGTCCCCGACGGCGGCACTGGCGCCTCCCGCCGCGCCGCTGCCGGCGTTGCTGGCAACGCCGATCCAGGCCCATCGATGTCTACTGTTTTGTTGCCTACGTGCCGCTGCCGCCGCTCAGCCAGCACAATGGCGTGCCGGTGTTGCGCTGTCGGATCGAAAAGCGGCTCGTGCAGCGGACGGACGGGTGCGGCCCGCGCGATGAGCCGCCGCCGCACACCGAGCTGCGCCGCGCGGACGTGAAGGTGGAGCTGGCAGCGGCCTGCTCAGTCCCCTCAACGGCGTCGACCGGCTCTCCGGCGATTTGCGGTCAGAAACGCCGCCGCTTCTGGGACCCTGCACCCTGGGACCAAGGTGTCAGAGCGCGGCGCTGCCCGTGAGACGTTAAGTTAGCACAGGCAATGTCGTCTGCACTCCTTGCAGTTCATGTTGAATACACAACCATGTTGCGAAGTAGTAGGCGCCGGGTTTTTCAGTTCATATAACTTTTTCCCTGGCTATTACACCCCACAACCGAACACTGACACCTTGCACAAGTATGACTGTGTGTATGAATGTTAATAAATACATGAACCAATGTTGTGTTTTCGGTTCCAGTACCTTCTTTGGGCACCTCGGCAACAAGTAAGTAATTCGTTAGCTTTGCCACACCTAAGATAGTCTCCCACGTTGTTATTTGCTCCCGGGTTAACATAAACCGGTTTAACGTAACTTTTGCATCCCGGCCAAAATTGCCGGGTTAACTGTCCCACCGCTCGAGACTGGCGCTAGGCTGGCCGAGCAAAAAAAAGTTTGTCCGCGGCTTCGTCTTATTCGCAGCTGCTGGACACGGGGAGGGGGAAGGAGGGGCTGCATCGGACGAAAAGCGATGAGGTGAGCCCTAATATTGGCTTCACCACACAATTTGAGCCCTCAAACTGGATTCAGGTGAGCTCGAAAATGGGGATCGGGCTGAAAACTGGTTTCATAGTGAGACTAGTTTTAAAGCTTGACACCGATAATGGGTACTGACTGAGCTCTGTTTCTGCGATCAATGATATACCGATTAAAGGGATCGGGTTGAGCCCTCAAACTGGATTCAGGTGAGCCCGAAAATGGGGATCGGGCTGAAAACTGGTTTCATAGTGAGACTAGTTTTAAAGCTTGACACCGATAATGGGTACTGACTGAGCTCTGTTTCTGCGATCAATGATACCGATTTAAGGGATCGTATGATCCCATGTGGCGTTGCTCAGAAAGTATTCTCGAAATGTGCTGTCTGTTTTGAATATGGTACATTAGCCCGAAAACTGGTCTCTGAGACCGAAAATGGGGACACTGTTTTCTCAGTGTACCTCGCGACACAATCGCGTTGGATAGGGCTTCGGGCTCTCCTGTCTCGAGGATTTTCTTTAATAGCGTGACAGACTGTAGACGCCACATATTCTCGGCCGAGAGCCACCGCAACTCTTTCAGCACTTCGCTTACATGGTCATACTTCCGCTTGCCCGACACAACACGAGCACCGAAATTGATAAGCCGCTGGAGCCGAGACATCTGGGTGACACCACATCCACCATAGACAACAATGGCGTACCGGATCGATGAGACTACTAGAGCCTGAACCAGAGTGGCCAGCGTACTTTTCGGTAGGTAGTGCCTACTGTGACTCAGGCCGCTCAGAATACCGGTGCATCGGCGGGCTACATCAGTCACATGATTTGAGAAGGTCATGCTCTCGTCAAAAGTGACGCCGAGGTTTTTAGCTGAGGACGTTCCCACAGTAGTGGTACCCATGAACCTGATTTCTATCGGGACTAGTTGACGAATTTGCTGCCTTGTGCCCAAAACAATGATCTGGGTATTTGATAATGCTGATAATGCATGGGAAGATTGGTATAATGTCCGCATTTATTCTTCCCTTAGGCTTGATGTGAAAAAGTCTGAAGCTGTCGTTGCAAATCACGCTGAACTGTCGATAAAATAATAGCATCGTTTACGTGTTAATTAAACCTATGTAGGATATGCGTGCTTGTGACACTCGTGCGAAAACGTCGCATACAGTATGCACAGCACTCAAAGATCAAAATCAAATTACCATGCAATGCGAAACTGAGTAGCCAATGATGGCTTCAAGTGCACAATGCACAATCGCTCCTGAAATAAGCAGCCAATCTTAGTACACTCTGCCTACCCCTCGCCACTCTTTGTCCGCAACTCGGGTCCAGTTATGTTGTCTGTGGCGTTTATTGACATCGTTTATCTTATCAGAGTGGGCACTTTGCAGCGAGGGACGCCACAGTTGTCATTTGGTGCAGGCAGTAGCAAGAACAGCTGCGAACCGTATCCTGCAAGGGCGTGGTAACAGGATATTTTGTGCTGTAGTGTTGCGCACATGTCGGGTCTTATTAGGCTCATCCACAATTAAAACCGAAGGCTGCCATGGGCTAGTCGCAGTTAGATTGGGATTCGTTCCTGGAAACGAGACCGGATTTGGTACGCCTCTGACTAGGATGCACACTGACACACTGAGTTTGTTAAAAAGCGTATTCATCCATGCGCTATTGAGATATCAGATAACCGCACGAACTTTAGAGTAGATTTAAGTTTCACACAAGTCACATAAGGAACAGCAAATCAATTCATACCAATGGCCTCTATGAACCCTTCCATGTTTCATCCTGTGCGTGTCAACGAAGAGATCAGCTCCCCGCTCTCGTCTTCGCGTGCCCGGTCATTGACCCGTGGCAGCACGTGCGCCGTGAACCCCTTCCGTGACCGGGTGGCTGTTCACTGTTCACGGCTCTTTCCTTTGCGGGGAGTTTAATCCGGGACCGGGATGACCGTGCACACACCGGGCGGCTGTTTTATCGAGGCGCGTGCGTACCCCTCATCGAGCTTCCGGGTGAAGGGATGTGGCGGATAGGCTAAGATGTAGGGTCTAGGGAGGTCGTAAAACAGCCTTTATTTGACGGGTGTGTGTTTAGTTTGATGAAAGAAGGCAGCGGAATGTATTCCTCAACAGATTTGAGAGACATTTTGCCTTCATATTGGTAGGATGTGCTGTAAAGCTTCAACTTGCTAACTGTGACGGCGAACAGCTGTTCGTTCGCTTCGATTGAGCTTATAAGTCCCGTTCCCGGGTTATATGCATAGCCATTCGACCATCTTATCATGCCTCGAACTGTGTCATGATATGCATTGCCGCGAGCGTGTCGATGTCCATTTGTCACCCAAGTGAAGGGTGCAATATCGCACATATCATAGGTATCGCATTAGTTCCGGAATCTGTCAGCCGTTCACCGGGCACCGCTAACCGTCTAGCCTCCCCAGCCCTCCCTCCTCCCCCCCCGCGCGGTCTGTCTTGTCACATTAATGCTGATGCTATGAACCCGTGCCTGCATCGGTGTGTTATCAGGCTGGACCTGTCCTCATACCGTTATTTCTCCTCTGTTTCAGTCCGAAGAACGCGCTGGTGGTTCGGACCCAGCTGTCGGTGCGGTGTCACGCCATCATCGGTAAGTTGGTGTCTCGTTTTTTTTTTCTGACCGTGTCCTGGTTATTTCCAGCTCCAGTAGGTAGGTGTCAATAAAACAAAATGGTCGAGCCATGTTGAATAAAAATATATTTCGGACATGCTGTCTTGTTTCATGATGCCTGTAAAGCAAAGCCTAGGTCACTCTAGGTCAATTTGTACCGTCTTTTCGTTCGGTTAGGATCAAGAGTTTCTCACAACTTCTTGGCTGCTCTTAATGATGGGTGGGATTGTAGCCAAAATATTACAGGCTATATCGGTGTAAAATATTATAAAAAAAAATCTTTATGGACGTAAATTCGTGGCGATAGACGTCAGGACGGCCGAGCGGTCCAAGGCGCTGCGTTCAGGTCGCAGTCCGGTTCTCCGGGCGTAGGTTCGAATCCCACTTCTGACAGCCTAGTTTTAATGTCAGGTCATCTTTGCCCCCTCCCCGCCTCCACGGGGGGAGCAAGACTTCACGACCGCACTGCGCACTTCGTGGATGTGTACTGTGTAGGGAAGAAGTGGCTAATAAGCGTAAACAGGCGACAACGTTGGCTTCAAAGTTCAACCTACTTCATTGAGTTCATACCCTAAGACTTGTCTCATATTTCGATTTCCAGAACGTTTTGAAATATCCGTAGGTATGGTCGATCACAAGCGTTCCTAGTGAAAATTCAGCAGACCTAGCCGCGCGGTAACTGGATAACAGCAGTATGCGCCGGTGCGATATCCGTGGTGGGACTGTAGCGCCAAACAAGCTCGGCTTATGTCGACAGACGGGCCCGAACCGCTGACACGTGATCTGTCGGTGGCGGGGGACGCTGGGAAACGACAATAGTAATACAGTCGCCGCCGACAGCGACGTCACGTGACGACACAGGCGAGCTGCTTGGGGAGTGCAGAGGGTATATACTCGAGTACCGGGGTGAGATGACACCGGAGGCAGACGCCAGATAGACATGCTCGGGTCTGTTTGGACGAGACTGGAAATCCTCACGGCGTCGAAGTATGGTTTCACACCGAGCAGTAGGTATGATTTGTTCGTTTCTTTACGATAATTACAAACTACAAATTCAGCACTGAAAAATGTAAAAACTGAGGCTGCATTTGAATGGTTCTTCTTTCCATTTGCACCGTAGTCCAAACCGACAGCCGTCATATGCCAGCGAACAAAAAGTTAGGTATCGGCTTCAAAGAGAAATGGTGGATTCCTCATTTCCCGTGACCCGGCTTCAAAGAGAAATAGTGGATTCCTCATTTCCCGTGACCCGAATGGGTCATGAAATCAAACGCTTCCCTTTGTCTTGGCTCACTGTTTCTGACTCCCTTCACAGTATTTTGTTTTGGAATTTTTGCTTCTGCTGTGAGTGGGTCGTGACTCTGGTCTGAAAGGCGACCGCTTTCAAGATACAAGTCACTTTCTCACTCTTATCCATTTTCACTTTTTTTCTTAACATCCGACTTGTGGTTTGCAGGTATGGCATGTAGAATGCTACCTAACCTGTTTCTGGTCTGTCCTTGAGAAGTGTTTTGCTTCCTTATCGTGGGAATAAATCGTCTAAATGCCCCGGCAACGCCGTCAGGGATGGACTCTGCTAAATGGTTTGCAGCCACAGAAGCTCTTTGATCACGGATGTCGGTGTGAACTGACGGTAATCGGAACATCGGAGCTACCGCCGCGGGCAGTACTCCATTCCCTAGGCTGAGAGTTGCTGTCGGAAAAACGTCTTTGAATTATTTATTTGAACGTTAGTGCCCGATTAAATTATGTAAGGACAATTGTATCTCTTATTTTTTGGAGTTTGATGCGTATCTTTTGACAGGGTATGTTGCTCTTATGTGCCTTTGAAACGAATACAACGAATACAAATACAAACGAATACATGTAGATTTAATTGTTGAGAAAGTTTTTATTTATCGAGGCTCGTCTTTCTGATAACATCGCTTTTTCCTGACCTCTGCGATCGTCACATGCATCGGATGTCCTCAGCGGACGCTCTACGAACGCTGCAACGTGGCGACTCCCTATCCCACCTTCCTCTCCTGTAACCCCAGCACCCGCTTATACCCCGCGCGCGGTCATTAGGGCATCCCGAACCATCACCTGTCACCATTCACTGCCGCCCCGGGCCTCATCCAGGTCACACCTGCGGCTCAGCCGCTCTGCCGCCGTCACTGGCGCACTGACACGGCAACATCTGCTGCCTGCGCCCCGGCCGGCCGACTGTCTGCCCCACTGGGCACTGCTCCGACCCCGTCCCTCCCTCCCCGCAGTCTCCAGCTCAGCTCAGAGACGGTCGGTTTGGATAGTATAGGATGAGCTGGCGCTGGCACATGTTGTTGAGGATGACTGTCGTGCCTCAGAAAATGTTCACGAAGTGTGGAGGGAAATGACAAACCATGCCACATACCTAACTCAGATTCTGAGCTACTATCAAAGAGCTACTATCTAATGAGCAAAACATTTCGGATATATCTCTGCGATACACCGTTCCGTGCTTTATCCTCAGGATACTGAAATCCTTCTCCCTCACGCCGCAACCCCTCTCCGGGCTGGACAGGCAACTTTATCTCATGCGGGCTGCTCCCTTGGAGCGGCACCGCTGCTCCCGAGGGAGCGCACCCCGTAGCCGGGTGCAGTGAGTACCTTGGGGCTGATCGGCCTGTCCTTCGGGATGGGCTCAGCCCCGGTGACTCACTAGGGTGCCTGCCCAGACCAATGTCTCCCCCTGATTCCTAACATCCTTCCGGCTCTGAAATGGTCCAATTGGACCGAAAGGGCCTAACCCAACAAAACAAACAAACAAAATCTCTGCGATGGGCCTAGTTTATAGAGCAGCCGAAGGGCGTGTCTTTGGGAGATTGTCTCTGGTGTTATGTTCCCCTGAGGCCGCCGCAGTCTCCGTGAAGTGCCATTTGTCCCGGTCCCTCGGCGGCTGCAACCGAGCCGCTGATGATGCCTGCGATCGCAAACGCTGCAGACAGATGTGCGCCAAGGTTGCGGGCGGGGGCGGAGGTGGGGACGGGGGCGGTGCTGCCGTCTGATCGCCGGCACGTTTGTTTTCAAACGCGAGCTCCGGCGACCGCTCCGCTGGGCTCTGAGCCAAGACGGCTCCTGCACTGGAGGCACGAATGTGCGAGACCGCCTCTGACGGGACGGTAGCATAGGCTCGGAACGTGAGTCAATATTTGACGAGGCGATTAACCGATGGTGCTGTTATGTTTCAGAAAAGCTGCTCAACTCTCAGGACAGGGACCTGCGCAGGGCGCTCTTCTCACTCAAACAGATATTCCAGGTGCGTTTTCAGTAAGCTGGTTAATGCGTCACACCTGAGATAAGGGAAAGGACACTCAAAGTAATCATGTGGAATGAACGAAGTCCGTGTTGGATTAGTTCTGTCACCTGACAGTCCACGATGCATGCTACATACATATGAAACAGATAACAGTCCTCTCAATTCCTACGAGCCTCAGACATCCAGTTTCTGGGACCCACCGAACGGTAGTTCTGTGAACTTGCACCGTAGAACACCTAGTGTCGCCTTATATCGGAGACAATGTCTCTGTGTCGACACCTCATCTAGAATACGGTCTGTATCTCTGTCCCATCAGGCTGAGAGTAACGGGTCGGCCGTTCCCTGGGTGTCTGGGAAGGGTCTGCGTTCATCACTTTGTCAGAATGGGGCTTGGTGCATGAGTGTGTCAGCCAGCACCCTCTGCCTGGGCGCAGGCAAACCCACTATGCATACAATGACTAGACTTTGTTCTACAACACTAAGCTCACGGCCATGACGCTGACTTTGGTGACAAGTTTTATACGGGATTTAAAGCTCCCCGAAAATCGAGGCCTTAACTGCGCAAGCATGGTTTATGGTTCGGACCAGGTCCTGGTCTGGGTTTGGATAACGGCGTATTTTTGTCGACTCGACGCTACTGAATCTGATAACATACGTCAGATTACGCGTGTGAACATTAATTGTGCACAGCGAACATTGCCAACTTTCTGTCACATCAGTAAATCCGTAAAACGGTTGATAAACACCTCGTATATAAATAACTACGCCATTTATACTAACGTTGCTGGTCTATTTCAGGACGACAAGGATCTTGTTCACGAGTTTGTCTGCAACGATGGCCTCGAATGTCTCATCAAAGTGGGCATGGAGGCTGACCAGAAGTACCAGAACTACATTTTACGAGGTGAGCCCGCCCTTCCCTCGGCCAGGGCTGTATCTCCCACCCTGGGCGGAACTCTTGATTTGTGTGGAGGGTTGACTCTGTAGGAAGGAGAACGGGGAGGGGGCGCTCTCGTCGCGACACTAAATAATTGGATACAGGGCGGCAGCGCTGTGTTTTAAACGGCGCGGTTTGTCTCCTTACCAGTATGGAGACACGCTGGGTCTTAGCACCGGAACTGCGGCGAGGAACAGACCGGGATAGATGTGGTAATTAGCTGCGTCCGGCGGTGCGATATGTTGCGATAATTGTGGATGGATAGGTGTAGTGGAAGAGAGGGCCTTGTCAGTCGCCGCCGCTGCAGCTGTACTGAGCTGATCTGACCCGTCCGGTCGTGAGCTGGTCTAATGGTCCCGATGGGTGGGCGCCGTTGATAGGTATAAGGAAGGGATCAGGCGGTGGGCGGGGAGAGACGGACACTCAACCGCCCCAGTTGGCGGCTGTGAGGTCTCCATCCCGAGCCGCTCACCAGGCGGTCCTGTTGTTCTTGTTGCGACCGAGGGTGATTGGTGAACCGCTCAGGTCTGGGGTGACGGTCATCTGTTGAGGGCGCACCCCGTGGTCCGCTGGGTCTCAAGAGGCGTTGATCAATGACTGGGTTTCGATCGAATCGGTGTTGGCGGCGGCGACAGATTGTTAATCGTTAGTCTGGATCGGAGCGAAAACACGTGCCCACAGATGTTTGGAATAAAGTCACGTTTCGTTATCGCAGTGAACTATTTGAAATATTGCTGACAAGTTGGCTTAGACTGCCACCTTGCCACCTTTGTGTGTCTGTCTTTAATGCTGCTAGACGTGACTGACATTCTGTTTTTTATGATTTATCTCCTTCCGAGTGGTTATGGCATCGAAATGCCTGGACGTGTCCGTTCTGTCTTTTAAACGGTATGCTCGAGAAATCCGATGTTTAATGAGTTTTGATCCTTCTTCAATTAACTGTATCTATTTGTTCCACTAAAATACCAACTTTTAACCATGTCTGCTAGCTGCCTCAATGGTTCCTTACAGCCTAAAAGTGTCGTATATTGCTGACATGCAGTGACCACACCGCCCCTTTCCGTAGCTCCTGGTCAGACGAATATGCTACGTCTGAAAACGTCTCATTGACCGTGCCTCCCCCCGCAGCCCTCGACCAGCTGAATATGCTGTCCCTGGGCCTGCCACTGCTTACCATACCTCCTCCCGCAGCTCTCGGTCAGGTGATGCTGTACGTGGACGGCATGAACGGTGTCATGGAGCACCCGGAGACCATCCAGTGGCTGTACACGCTGCTCGACTCGCAGTACCGCCTGGTCGTGAAGACGGCACTCAAGCTGCTGCTCGTCTTTGTCGAGTACACGGAGCCCAACGGACTGCTGCTGGTCAGAGCCGTCGGAGCCGTTGACAGGGAGAGAGGTGAGGAGAGGCAGCCAGTGGGAAAGAGGAAGGGATGACGGAATTAGGAGCTTTAGGTTGTTTTGTTGTTAACATTAAGTGGATTTATGAATTAATTGCCAGAGGTCATGACTAATGTACGGTATAACTAAATTTAAAATGGATGTGAGTCATTCATATTCCGTAGTCTCATTGTTTGTTACCTTGCCATATGACTCTTCGGTCTGACGTGACCAGACCTGACCTCCCCTTCCCTACAGGCCGGACGCCGTGGCACGGTCTGATGACCCTCTGAACTGACTCCCCCCCCCCCTCAGGCCGGACCCCATGGCACGGTCTGATGACCCTGCTCAAGTCGTCGGACGCCGCCGATGCCGAACTACTCGTGTTTGCCATCACACTGATCAACAAGGCGCTGAACGCTGTGGACGACCAGTCGGTGTTCTACGACAACACCGACTGGATCGAGGAGCTCGGCATCGAGGCCGTTACCAACAAGTGAGCAATGAGGAGGGCCGGGACTGGGTCGGTGGTATTGGGGTGATTGCGTATGATGGTATTTGGCACTTGATTTTGGAATCTGAAAGCTGTGGTAAGGTGGGACAGAGAAAGAGTAGGTTTGTTACAGCCGATAGAAGGAATGCTGGAGCTCGCGTCGTTGCAGCATGCACATTACACGGCCGTTCGACCTCTGATATGTGACAGGTCACATGGTTATAGTCAACGTCGACCACGTGACCTGCTGCGGTGACCGCTGCGGTCGGACGCACCAATCACGTGTCCGCTCACATCCCGTTGAAGGCCGTAGTGCGGTGAGGTGTTTGCCACGGGTGTTTCCTTTCCGTCAGCATACCCGACACGACTCCACGCGGTCAGTGCAGTCAGCAGGACTCCGTGATATGTCACGGTCACGATCGAATCGCGATGACGTTATCGTCACGTCCCTATGACGTCACGTTAGGCCAACTATGCTTACGTCATTATGATGTCACGTCAATAGCCGTCCACTAACGGTGATCACATCATCGTTTATCACTTGAACGCCTCAGCCGCGTCCCTATTGCGTCACGATGCCGTGCTGTTCAGTGTGCTGTGCACTGTGCACTGTTGTGCACTGACGCGTGCGGTGAAAACGACCCACAGGATGTGTGATGATGCTGCCCTGAGCGAGGTGTGATCTATCCGAGTTAGTGTGACAGCAGGCTCTCGGCTCTGTTTGTTTGTTTACCGGACAGATTACTGAGGTCGATCGCGTCACTGCGAGAGAGCGGCGGATATTGAATGTCGGAATGGTTTGTTAATCGTTTGTCACATTATGCGGCGTACAAATGTCCAAACAAGGTGGCTGAATTTTTGAAATGTTTAGAAGCGCCGTTATTTATTATGCTCACTAATAGGTCGAAATCGGTGTCCAAATGTAGGGTAAGGGCGGGTAAGAGGACGCGGGCGATAAGAGTACGCATCAGCTGTTTCGGTTGCCTAGCAACGCGGGTTTGTCGAGTTCATGAAGTGACATGAAGCCGCCAGTACGTGAGTTCTCTATATACCGTGAGTACGTGTTTGTCACCAACGGAACGTGGACGTTGTGCGGCGACGCTGTTGAGTTTAAGGCGATGAATATTATTTTGGAGGGTTACGATCGTTACGATATTATTATGGTATGGTACAATAATTTTGATACTTGGCAGTTGAGATGAGGTACATTTTCGTGATTGTTGTGGGAAAGTTGTGAGGTTTTCTGGAGAAATACTGTGCAGTGCAATTTTCTGTTTGTGAAGTTTTGCACAATGTTTCGGGGTTGTTTTGTGCGCGAATTGCATGTAGGGTAAGAGTACGCACTGTTCATGAGGGTAAGAGTACGCAGAATTATACATTAGGGTAAGGGCGGGTAAGAGTACGCGGGCGATAAGAGTACGCATCAGCTGTTTCGGTTGCTTAGCAACGCGGGTTTGTCGAGTTCATGAAGTGACATGAAGCCGCCAGTGCGTGCTTATCACCAACGGAACGTGGGCGTTGAGCGGCGACGCTGTTGAGTTTAAGGCGATGAATATTATTTTCGAGCGTTATGATATTATTTTGGTATGGTACAATAATTTTGATACTTGGCAGTTGAGATAAGGTACATTTCCGTGATTGTTGTGGGAAACTTGTGAGGTTATCTGGGGAAATACTGTGCAGTGCAATATTCTATTTGCGAAGTTTTGCAACGTTTCGGGGTTGTTTGGTGCGCGAATTGCATGTACGGTAAGAGGACGCACTGTTCAGGAGGGTAAGAGTACGCAGAGTTATACATTAAATCGAATATACAGAAATATAAAATTATTAATCTATCGCTCAATGACGTTTGTTTTGTAGGTATATCATCAATGGAGCACTGTGATGCAGATGCGTACCCGAAATTCTTCCAAATACGAGTTATTCTCCCTTTTGATTGTGCATTTTTTTAGAAACACACGACATGATTATTTCCTGATTTATAGACTTGAAAGATTTATTCTATGTTTTTCTTTTTGGATACAAGAATTAACTTAAATGCCTTCTGAGTTTGAAGTTAAGCATTTGGACAGTACAAGCTGCATAGGTGTGTGTTCATATGCTTGCGTACCCCACCCGCCTGGCGTGCGTACTCTTACACACCCCATATGGTAAGAGTACGCAACTGCAGCGGTTCAGAAAATGTCAGTTTTAGACCACTTCCATTTACGCTGAAGGATCGTTGCCCCATGGGTTGATGGCTAATTCAATGAAGTTTAATATTCCCTATTTGCGATTTCTTTCTTTCAAATATTAAACAAATGAGAGCAAGAAATCCACTAAGTGCGTACTCTTATACGACTTCACCCTATATCGAATATACAGAAATATCAAATTATTGATATATCGCTCAATGACGTTTGTTTTGTAGGTATATCATCAATGGAGCACTGTGAGGCAGATGCGTACCCGAAATTCTTCTAAATACGATTTAGGTATTCTCCCTTTTGATTGTACACTTTTAGAGTCATATGACTTGATTATTTCTTGATTTATAGATATACAAGATTAGTTTTATGTTTTTTTTTCTTTTTTGATACTAGAATTAAATGAAATGTCTTCTGAGTTTGATGTTAAGCATTTGGACAGTAAAAGCTGCCTATAGGTGTGTGTTAATATGCTTGCGTACTCCACCCGCATGGTGTGCGTACTCCTACACACCCCATGTGGTAAGAGTACGCAACAGCAGCGGTTCAGAAAACGTCAGTTTTAGACCACTTCCATTTACGCTGAAGGATCGTTGCCTCATGGGTTGATGGCGAATTCAATGAACTTTAATATTCCATATTTGCGCTTTCTTTCTTTCAAATATTTAACAAATGAGAGCAAAAAATCCACTAAGTGCGTACTCTTATACGACTTCACCCTACGTGTTCTGATCATTTTTTTTTTTTTATAGCGTAGTAGTGTGATGTTTTGATGCATTACGATCCTTTATGTGCCCCCGCACTGTTGTATTGTTAGCTGAAGCATTGTTCTATTCGCGATGTTTTCTCGCCATGACGCATGACTATTATCCACTTCGTATACCCTGCGGATGAGTTACAATGTCATTGGTGTGCCATAGTACGTACCACGGTTGAATGCGTACCGACGCATCTATTCCAGTCCATTGCATGTTTTTGTAGCATTCCTCCCAATCACCCATTGTCCCCTCTTCCTGCCCCCCCCCCCTCCCCCCACCGGTCACCACCCGGCCCTACTTCCATACCGGTCACATTGACAGGTCTAAGGGCTCCCCCCTCCCCGCTCTGCATTTACGCCCCACACAACTGACACAGTAAATAGAGTGACACCTCGTTCGGTGTGGTGTATACGGCGCGACACGGCCCGGCACGCAGCGGCAGCGCCATTGTGGACACGAGCTCTCAATCGGTGGAGGCAGCGGCGGTGCCAGGGGCCAGGTCGGTCAGTTCCTGGTCCCGCACCGTCCAGGGTTAGCTCAGGTGCAGTTGGTGGACTATGATGAAGCTTGTGAACCTTGAGAGGATGTGATGGAGGTTGTACTGAGTGTGACAATGAAGCCAGGTTGTTTAGGTGGTGTTGGTCAGAGTCTGCCGGTGAGTCAGGTCAACCATGGACGGTATAGGGCTCCAATTGACATCGGCAAACGGTGCATGACCGGCGAAATGAAGTAGCATACCATAGCCGCTGGGTGTGCTGCTGCCACCGTCAGTCTAGACGGGACGGGGCGGTAGTTGTACCGCCAGCCGCTGCAGCCGCCGGTGACAGTGCGGGAGGCTGTGTACGCGGCAGAATCAACACAACGGCGATAGTGCACCGTCGTGTCTCCCGTCTCCGTGCCAGTGTGTCGGCTTTACTCGCTGTCTGTGCGTGGTCTCTGCTGCCTCCACCATCGGTGTTCGCTATCTTTGACCAGTGCTCGCCGTAGGTGTCTGGAGTGCTAGAAGAGCTTTAGCGGTGAATGTGTGGGCGGTGATATTTTGTGAAACGTGAGAGATCTGATATTCATCGGAGCTAAGACCAAGATGACCCAAACAACTACTTCAGAGTTCTACATCACACGCACGTAAGGAATGGAATAGTGCTACCAGACATCGCCTAACGGCTCGGAACCTGGGCGTAACAATAAGATTTGTCTTCCCCGACCCCTTCCCAGCAGGTATCTGTCATTATTTGGACCTGATATAAGCGCTACAGTTCTGCGCTCTCTCAGGGGCACTGTCCTCTCGGCAGGTACCTCTCTCGGGCGGACACGGAGCCGGAGCTCTCTCAGCAACTGCAGATCTACGAGGCTATGTGTTCCTCTCACAGCCACTGTCCTCTCTCGACAGGTACCTCTCTCGGGCGGACACTGAGCCGGAGCTCTCTCAGCAGCTGCAGATCTACGAGGCCGTGCTGCGGAAGGAGGACGGCGAGTCGGACGGCAACAGCATGCCGGCGGACGCCAGTATCAGGTCAGCGACGGAATGGCGGTTGGTCTGGGTGCTTTGAGCAAACACTTCGTCCAGCGCCTATGGCATGACATTTTCTTGCCATCGATAGCCAAACTTCACAAATAGGCGCGCAATCATTTGTTAGTCGGGACCTTCATCTCACTGCTGTATGTCAGCGACTTCCAATCCGAAATCAGCACCTCTGTTGCCCTGTTGGCCACTTTTGTGCTGTATCCCCACAACAGCGGTTTCTCAGTCTGACCGTAGTCTCCCTTATCAGGACGCTGCCGCGGCTGCGGCGCGGCGCGGCCGGCGAGCCCGACCAGCGGCGTCGCTCGCGACGCTTCTCGACGCGCCGCGTCTCCTCCGACTCGCCCAGCTCTCCGGAAGAGGAGAGCGAGGGTGGAGCGCCCACGTTCGCCTTCTACCGACCGGTCGGCGAGAACTGGACCGTCAGCGACCGGCGCCGCATGTTCGCCAGAGACGGGCCGAGCAGCTCCGGAGCAGGGGTCGAGATCAACGGACACTCGGGCTCACAGCAGGACGCCTCCAAATGTGAGTGGTAGGGAGGACCGGGTAGACAGTTGGAAATAGTGATTGCAAAGAATGCGCTGGAAAATGTCAGCATTTGTAGAGATGAGAAAGAACGGCATGCTTCTGAGTGTGAATGGATAACATTTTGTTATCTAAGCTTTCTTCGTTAGTTTCGTTCTTGCTAGGCCAGTTTGTTTAGATGTGCTCGAATGCACTATAATTTTTCCCAAAAAAAAAAAACACTGACTACAGTGCCAGCACGGTTTAAAATGATTCAGTGCACCGAACTGATCTGAACTGGTGCCAGCCATTGTTGAAATAAGCCCGCTGATTCATTTCAATCATCCCACTCCTGGCATTGGTTATAATACCGATGGGCTGTCAAAGCCATCATCCCTCTCCCAACAAATAGTTATTTTTCACTGTAACTACCCATCAATGTCCCATGTTTCCCATCGCTGAGCTATAAGGAGTCCTCACACTAGGCGGAGACCACCTCTGCCCGACCTTCCATCATCAAACAGCCAATTTTACTACCCCCGTCCCGCCCCACCTCGACCCTCCCCGCCGTTGCCGAACCAGCTGTGCACTCAACTGCACTGTGGGTGTTTTGGGCCGCTCTGAGGGCGCTCGTGCCTGTGCGTGGGTGTGGGAGCTCAGCTGACCCGCGCTGCGTGCACTTGAACGTGCGTCGGCACTATTTGCGTCGGTCGGCGACCTGTCAACACCGCCGACCGTCGCCGCGCCGAGAGCGTCGTTACTACGTCAGAAGCGTCGCTCTCTAGTCCTGCCGGCATGTCATAGCCGGTGTTGGATGATGTCAGAAGGACGACAAAGTGTCCCTCAGAGAGAGGCGCTGTTGAGAGCCGGTGATGACGGAGCAGACAGGACGCCAGTTCAGGCCGGGGGCCGTGGAGTCGGGGCGGCACAGGGCGACTCACAGAGGGCCGTCTAGCTGGACTTGGAGCGGGGAGAGTGGTGGGGGGGGGGAGACAGGACAGAGGGGCGGAGGTGGGCTGGTGGGGGTGGATCTGATAACGCGCTAGTGATGAGAGGACAGGAGCAGCCTGTGTGAGGGTATATTGGAGGTAACTGTATGTTATTGAAGACGGCCGTAGGTATATCGAAGAAGACTGTACGGCCCGGAGTACAATGACGGAAGCAATTTCAGAGAACCTATCAGGGCAGGCACAAGGCAACGGCTGTTCGGTGGATGAAAGATGATCGAGATGTCATGAATGGTTTATTTGAATGCTTGAACGGCTGACAATTGATCAAAGAGACTGATGGCGATTTGTTGCAGAGTCCATGGTGCGATGGGAGAGAATGAGAGAATAAAACCAGTAAAACGCCTTTTGGGCGAAGGACGAGCCAGCGAGATAGTGAGCCCTGCACGTGCGGAAGGGCGAGAGGGTACTTCCAACGGGCTTGCGCAAAGCACCCTTCTAACCGGTCGCTAGCGGTGTACCAAATTTGAACACAATCGGCCCAGCCGTTCCTGAGATCTGGAAGCGGCATTCTGCACGTGCGCACGTGCAAACGGGGTCCAAACTGACTTTTGCACGGCACCCTACTAACTGGTCCCCAACCGTGTACCAAATTTGTGCGCAATCGGCCCAGCCGTTCTCGAGATCTGGAAGCGCCCCCTGCACGTGCGCACGTGCAGTAGCGCCTTAACCGCAACACATGGGAATGCATTGTCTGGTGGGTGTCTACCTGTATGCCAAGTTTCAGCGAAATCGCCCCAGTAATTACCGAGTTATTAAAATGGGAACAAAGTTGACACCTCTTATTGTTGTATTTTGCACGTGCACTGAGGGTGACCCACATGCATCGAGAGTATCCTATTTTTGGTAGAAGGGATGCTGCTACTCTACAAAAATTACCGCAAGCCCATTGCCCAAGCGGCTGCTGAGATATGAGCCTCTCAAAATCACTACTTTTGCAAAACAGCTTGAACACCCTTGGCTTTTCACGTGGCACGTGCCACGACGGTCACTGAGATGTATCAAAAGTAGTCAATTACGGGGTAGAAGGGATGGGGCTACCCAACAAAAAAGACCGCAGGCCAATCGGTCCAGCGGTTGCTGAGATATAAGCCTCTCAAAAGCGTTACAGGCCGGGCCGGGCCGGGCCGGGCCGCTCATACTGAGATTTTTCCGTTATATTGAAAAGACTCACTTCGCTCGCTGCGCTCGCTCGCTCGTAATGAGTCTTACTCATTTCCTTGGCATGGGAAGCTAGCTTTTCCGGGTACCGGACACGAGCCTTTACGCGTTTCTTACGCCACCGCTAAGCACCCAAACAGCTTCGCTAACACCTGTCCGACGTTTGCTTACAAATCCACGTTTTTGCACATGTGCAAAATTCAAGGCCGGCAGGTGACTCAAGACATTCGCGTTCGGAGCCAAAACAGGTCGTAAATTCACCACGTGTGAGGTGCAAACTGCTCGGTTTTATTGCGCCGTCAAATATTAGTTCAACGCACACAGCTTCCTGTTCCTGCAGCGTGAGCGTTGTGCAGACAAATCCCTACCCTGGTGCAGACTTCAAAATCACGGGTTCAATGACTGCCATTTAGCTGAACATTTGGATGCTAATTTGTCTTGCAAATCGTCTCAGAGTAGAGTCTATGAATATGATAGCTCATGTTCCTCATTGTCCATGCAAACGGTGGCGTGGTGGCTTGGTTACACTCATGAATAGGTTTGTAACGGCTGGGTATCTTATAACTTTCATTTAACCAACTTTATCTACCATGCACAATGCCCATCTACCCCCTCCCCCTGTCCCCTGCACCCCCAGACGCCGAGATGGGCGTCACCCCGGGCCTCCGCCGGCGCCGGGAGAGGCAGGAGCGGCAGAGGAGCTTCATCCGCGAACAGGAGGAGCGGGGCTCACTCTCTCCGGAAAAGGAGGAGGCGGACAGGAGGACTGACGAGCAGAACCGCAAGAACGCGCAGCTGAGCCGCCTGGAGCCGCCGGCGACCGGCGGCGTGCCCCTCACCCGAGATCCCAGCTCCCTGGGCGTGAGTGGGGAAGGGGAGGGGTCCAAACGGGGTACAGTTGTGGGGGGGGGGGGGTTGTGGATAGGAAATTTTCTAGCTGTTTAGCGTTTTCTGGGATATTCCAGACGGTTTTGCGAAACACACGTCAGTGACTAGCCACAGGTTCTCTCGGCAATTTGTGTGGGAAAGACAGTACGTTCACGTGCTATTTGGGTTATGCCGATTATTTTCTCCCATTCACCCAATCTTTGTACTTTCCCCACCTAAAACGTCTGAGGCTTTGTCTCCCCAGTCGGACCACGGACCGGCGCCGCTCTGCCGCACCGAGTCCGGCATCCTGAAGAAGCCCTGGGTGCTGGGTATGATGTACCAGAAGGCGCCCGACGAGCACCCACCGGCCTCCACCACCGGCGGGGAGGGTGACGAGGCCTCCCGGAGGCGACTAGAGCTGGACCTCAAACAGGACAGCGTGCGGGACCTGCGGGAGAAGCTGCTCAGCCAGCCGAGCCCGCTCTCACCGGGCGAGGAGCGGCCCGGGCGGCTGGGGGACACCAGCGGGCTCATCTCCAAAGCCAAGGAGGAGCTGTCGCGCTCCAAGAGCAAACACGACCTCAAGAGTCCCGAGGTGGTGCGTCAGGCAGCTCCCGAGGCGCCCAAGAAGTCCGAGAACGACCTGCACTGGGAGCAGCTGATCCGTGGTCTGGAGAGACCTCTGGTGCTGGCAGATCTGGACTTTTCCGATCTGAATGACCGCGATGACGCCGATCTGCCGACGCTCTCGATGTCGGTGGGGACGAACGGCGTGCCGCCGCCGCCCCCGCCCATGGGAGGCGTGCCGCCGCCGCCGCCCAGGATGCCCGGCATGCCGCCCCCGCCCCCGCCACCGGTACCTGGCGGCCGACCCGGCAGGACGGTGACAGACGGCAAACAGTCGGCATTCTATCAGAACAGGACCAACGGCACGGCCCCGACGATACCGGCCAAAACCAAGAAGACGGTCAAACTCTTCTGGAGGGAGGTAAGCTCACAGCTTAGGCGTGTTTTATTGCTTAGAAGTCTTGTATTGCATTGCTTTGCTTTAAAACTCAATACTTCCGACACGCATAGCTTATTGAAGAACAATTGCACACCGTTTCTATCTGCGCGATATTGTGACGGAAACTGGTGTTCTCAGCCCAAACCCGGCTCGCTGTCTGCCTGTGTCGCTGATTCCGTGCTTATTTTCAGGTTCGGGACGAGTTCCTGCCGGCCAACCAGACCACCATCTGGGACGAGATCGCCGAGGTAGCCGTCGACACGCAGAAGCTCGAGCACCTGTTTGAATCTCGCGCCAAAGATCTGATCGTCAAGGTACGAGCTGAGTTCGATGGTCTGCCATGGGACTAACTAGTAACTATCGCTCCTCGGTCGCCGTCGGGTCAGCGAGGCTCTGTGAATGTTTCTGGGTGATTTTGGGAACGGCGCGGGTAGCTGGGGTCGCTAGACTCGCCAATGACTGAGCTGGGACGCAGTGGCGGTATAACACGGGTAACGCTGACGGTGATGCCAGCGCCATCTGTAGCCAGCGGTGAGCGCTGCCGGCGCCACCTAGGTGGGACTAACTCGCGGCCTGGTGCCGCCGGGGCCTGCGGCGGCCGCTGCGCTCGCTGGTGGCGGGCCGGTGCGGGCGGCGGGTCTCACTAACGCTGGCCGTGTCCTCTGCCGTTTTGTCGGCCGCTGAGGCCGCTAGTTAGGGCTGCCGGCCGACCACTGTGGACGCTGTACTAATCCGAGTCTCTTTTCGCATCTCTCTTCTCACTGTCATCTTCTGTCTGTCCGGTCTGCGCTGGGACCTCGCCCATCATGTGCAGGAGGTAAGCACTCGCCGGCGCCGGGCGCGGCGTGTCCCCGGCTTCCCCACCCCGCTCCCCTGGACGCCCCTCCCCCGGCCCTCCCCGAACAGAGGTGCAGGTGTTTGTGGGCGGTTAGACCTCTAAACTGTGCGTTCTGTTACGTTCAATAATTCAGACAGGATGATAATTGATATGTTATTTCAAGTTGTGCGTTGAAGGTAAAGGAATATGCCTTGCATGACGCTTCAAAAAGGCCGTCTGCTATTTTGCTGCTTTTGCTGCTTAACCTTTATTAAAGCGCTCTGAGCTTATTCATTTTGCTACTACTTACCGTAACCCAATGTACCGTAACCCCTGAAACTTCAAACGTGCTTTGACATTATCCCGTGTGCTGAAAACTATTCACTCCTCAAATCGAAGGGAGCTGGCTGTTTTAAGCAATAACCCAGGTTTACAAGCTCCCCTGCTTCTTTGGCCGTATTGTGTAGATTAAAAATGGCGTTGGCTTATCCCGGCAAATCATTGCTCACGCTTACCCAGGCTACGCATCTTATTTCATTATCGCATATTATATCGTTTTTGACGAAAATCTTTGCATTTCAAGCGCTTTGCGTGTTACTTTTTATATCAATCGCCAAATTAAACATACTTTTATCATCATAGCTGCAAAATATCATTAAATGCCCTTCAAACCAAGCATAGTGTCCTTTGCACAGGTATAATTAACTAAACATTAATGATGGGATCTTCTTTTAATTAAGATATTTGTGCGTAGGTAATCTGACCCAACAACTGATCTGGAGTTCTAGACACCAGGGGCTTAATATGTTTTGAACAGCTGGCTTGACGTTTTTAAACTCAGGCCTTAGCAAAGCGACCTACCTCGAACGCTGATTTTAATCTGAAGTGTTTAAGGTATAGACTTGCACGTTTGCAAAATTTGTTTTTCTTTTAAAGTAATTTTCATAAGATCCCTCTGGGATGCTCAGTGAAGAAATTCATGTCATTATAAGAGCGTCACTACGAGCTCGACTCTTTCATAAAATGTTATCAGCCCTGCTTCCGCTGCTGGCTGTGGCGCCGTGGTATGTGTTCACTTGCCTACGTCAGAATTGTCCTCACCTGATGACGTCACCTCTGACCTGACCGCTGACGTCACGACCACAGAAGCAGCAGGAGTCGAAGGGCACCAAGGAGATCGTGGTGCTGGACCACAAGCGGTCCAACGCCATCAACATCTGCATGACCAAGCTGCCGCCGCCGCGCACCATCAAGACGGCCATCTTGAAAATGGACGCCACCATCATCAACAAGGAGGGGATCGAGGCGAGTTCTGCCGTCCAAAGGCAAAACCGCATATGTCGGGTCAGGTCATGACCCGACATATGCGTTTTTGCCTTTGGACGGCAGAGTTCCAGGGCGTGCTGGTAGTGGTGACTGTGTTATGCTAATGTTTGCGTAGGCTGGTAGTGGTGACTTTGTTCTGATAATGATTGCGTAGTTTATGCCTGCGTGAAGTCACGGCCCTGTAACGAAAGCACCGTCCGATTCGGCCAATCCATAGACACTTGACCGTTGGAAGGTGCCTTAGAACTCGTATTTGCCGTTACCAGTGGCAGCCATATTTCTGTCTGTACTTGACTATTCCATGAAGCGTCATAATTCCATAGTGTTAACACCTCTGTCCTTCGCTTGCCGTTCACAGAAGCTGCTGTCGCTGCTGCCGTCGGATGAAGAGATAAGTAAGATCAGCGAGGCCCAGGTGGCCAACCCGGAGCTGCCGCTCGGCTCGGCGGAGAACTTCCTGCTCACTCTGGGCTCCATCTCAGAGATCGCCGCTCGACTCAAGCTGTGGGTCTTCAAACTGGACTATGACAACACAGAGAAGGTGCGTATGCGCTTTGGACGGACGGACCAAGTAAACCGAGGATAGTATAGTCGGATTGCTGATTTGTCTGAACTCTTCGGTGCTAGATCTTGCATGTCGAATGGTGTCTAATTAATTGGTGTCAGGGGACAGATTATTGTAAATGCTCGACCGTTCACATCAGAGTTTAAGGCCGTAACAGTGCACAATATTCGGGGCAGAGTTACGGTCCGTTTGCACCCGCGCAGACCACTAGCGCTGCTCGTAGGCCGGTCCGGAACTGCCATCTTCCACCCCCGCCACCAGATGGCAGGTCCTCCGTCAGACACCCCGATCCAGACCTCTCTGGAATTGTTCGGAAGTCTCTGGCCGGGGCGGATGGGTGGCCGATGCGGTCTGTATGCTCTGTGTACGGAGGAATGCGGCCTTCTGAGAAACATTGACCGTCTGTATAGTGTCTCCTGCGCCTGACGCGCTCGGGTCGCCCCGAGTCGCCCCACTGACGGGACGGGCGCCAGGGCAGAGGCGGCGGTGTGTGTGCTGCTGAGGAAAACTTGGAGGCAGGCCCGCTAAAACGGGGATAGAGAAACAGGGACCAGAGACCAGGGACGGAGGATTAGAAATCAAGGGCTTACACCAGCGACTAGGTTCTAAGCGCTAGGGAGAGGGACTACAAACTGAAAACCTAGCACTGAAGACTCGGTACCAACGAGTGGGTGAAACACTAGCGGCAATTGCCGCTACACTTAAGTGATCACCAGCCAGCCGGCACCAGCCTGAATCAAACACCAAAGAGTGACGGACAGACCCATGGACCAACTATTGCTCCCCGGGGTCAGTCACTGGGTACGAATCACCACGTGCTAGACGCGGAAGGCGGCCGGCGCCGTCTCCTATCCGCCGAGGGAGTGTCGGTGTCGGATGGGACCGGGCCGGACTGGATTCCGGACAGTGTCGCCCCCCAGCCGACCGCTGCATGGACGGTCAGGCCACAATGTAAACATCATGATTTGCGGCTTTGAGTAAACAGGGGGCGTATGAACGCGGCCTGGATGGTCATTAGTCATCGACTCATCGGACATCGGCCAGTGGCCGGCGGGCGATGTTCAACATTGACTGCTTGAACATTGGTCAGCGATTATATTTCATTTGTTTCCTGTCATTGACGGTTGGTGGTCGCACGTCAGCTATCCCTGGCCAGTCTTAAATCCCTGATCATCAATTACATAGTAGATTACTTTCAAGTTACACAGTAAATTACATATTAAACTCTGACCGACTATCACTGGTCAGCCACCGGTCATCGGTCACTGACCATTGGTTACTAATAGGTCACTGACCATCGGTCGCTGGTCATCCCACACATCAATGGTCGCTGGCTGTTTTTCATAAATTGCATACTACTTCGGACAAACACGAAAGCACATGACCACTCAGACAAGTCAACAGCCCATGACACCATTTCGACCGGTCACTTACACGGTGAACGACCCATGATGTCTACTCTGACACACATCTAGCCAGGAATGCGCCATTTCAGGGCTGACGCTCCAAAACAGACTGTATCGTGCCCTCCCGCTCCTGTGACCCCTGTGACTTTGTAGTGCTCAGTTGACGGTGACCTCTGTCCTATTAGCGGCGGCGCAGTCTCCTCCCCTCCCGCCAGGGGCTGGACAATGTTTGTGTCTGCATTGCTCTGTCGTAATCGCTTATGACGTAGGCTGTTGGGGAGGGAGAAGTTCAGTGACCAGTCTGGGGAAGGGGCTATACCGGGGGCACTGGGACGGAGGCAGAGCGCGGATGTTCCGGGACTCCAATTTTACAGCGGAGCATCGTATAATTTTGTAAATCTGTATTAGCGAGGCAGTGTATGTAGAACAAGAAGGAAGGGAAGAAACCGAGGATTTAATCGAGTTACTGTCCTTGCCACACGACTCCAATATACGCCTTTTTCCCGTTTTAGCCCGTTTCCGATTTATATGTATTCTTAGTTACGGACACTTTAGGATAAAATGCGTTTCAGGGGTTTGAAGCTTAACATGAGACGTTAATCACAGCTCGTTCAACCGATCTGGCACCGTAAAAACGCTCCTCTCTTCGCTTTCACCCGCAGGAAGTGGCCGAGCCTCTGATGGACCTCAAGCAGGGCATCGAATTGCTGACCAAGAACGCCACCTTCAAGTCGATCCTGACGGTGCTGAGGAGCGTCGGGAACTTCCTTAACGGCTCGGAGGTAGATGGGTGGCCGGGCAGGAATTAGAAGGACGGTGGGTGGATGGGCAAGGTATTCCGAGACGATCGGCGCGAGTGTGGTATTAGGACGAAACGTGACCGATCATACGGGACTGGCAGAGGCGCAGGGGCCGCGGCGGGGACTGGGAGCGAGATATTCGAGGAGGGGTGGAAGAAAGGAAAAGGTTACTGAGGCTTTCGGCTAGCATGCATTGACTTATACTGTAAAAGTGAAAGATGACAGGTCTCTCGATATCTACGTTGTGAGGTGTGTTTGCATATTTGTAATATATAACCCGTGTAAAAACAGCTACACTAGCACATAGCTCACGCCATACCATCCTCCGCAGGCGAAGGGTTTCAACGTGGACTACCTGGCCAAGGTCCCGGAGGTGAAGGATACGGTGCACAAGCACTCACTGCTGCACCACCTGTGTCATATGGTGATGGAGAAGTACCCCGACTCGTCCGACCTCTACTCAGAGGTGAGTCAGGCGACTCAGAACGCGACTAGGATGGAATCCGGCGAGTCAGAACGCCGTGGCTGGTGTGGAGTCACGGGAGCTAAACCTAGACTACAGCCTGAGTGTACCAAGTCAGACCGCAGCAGTTGCCACTGAATCATGCGAGTCAGGTACACATTCAATTAGGTACACAATCAATTAGGTTCCTCAATATTACTCTATCCGGTCGGTAGATACGGCAACTTTCGTAATGATAGGGACTGTAGATCAAGTCAATGCGGTCATTAATCGAGCTGATATCTTCTTATCGGTTATTGTGCTTGTGTTTCTGAGAAGATCGATCAGTTCCTAAAATAGCTCGTCCCACCAAATGTCACTGCTCCCTGTTATGATTACCGTTTTTTACACAAAGTATTTTATGAATCGCCGGCGATTGCGAATATTGAGAACTAGGGACATCTCCGTTCAATATGTACTTTCAAAAAGTCAAACCAATGATTAGGTAGTTAATTTCATTTTATCAATGAGGTGAAACAGAGTCAGAAGAAGAACTCGCTGGATTAAAGTACTCATCCCGTGCGTCCCGCTGGCCCGTTCCAGTCTGTTGTGAGTCGCCGTTGAGTGGCGTGATATCGGTCCCCGCTCGGGACTGGGTGAATTATTCGAGCCGTTTATAGCGGAACACGGCTCACTCGTGCGCCGATTGTGAGTAGCCTCCACCGCGGCGAATCCAGCGCTCTGGCGACGGTTCGGCGCAGTCGAGTAGAAGCCCAGCTTCACGACTAACCGCCTCAAACGGGATTTTGGCTGGGCGGAGGTAATTAAACGTTGCACGGTGCGTTCAGCGCAGACCGACCAGCTCTGTTACCAGGCGCGTGTTTTGTACGGCGCTGCGGCGGCCGGGTCGGGTCGGGTCGGCGGCTGTGGCAGCGCTCTGGCGCCGGTGGATGGCCGCATACTTGGACATGTTGTCGGCTGTTTATGGTATGAATAAACAGCGGGCGGCGAGATGAGGCGACCGTCGGCGTCTGCTCGGCCCCTCTCTGCAGATCTCGGGGGTGTGCGGCGAATCCACGATAATGAAGCAGTCTGGTATTTACCAGCTGAGACCAGTGCATCCTTAGGTCGCCTGAAATAACTGCTTATTTGCAATGCTTTTTTTGCAAAGGACCACCGGCTATACCAGACGGTGATGATATATTCATCATAATCATCATAATTATTAGCATCAACATATTAATCATCATTATCATCATCGTATCATCTTTATAGTCATGCCACAGGGCACAGCGCCAACCCCTCACCCCTCGTCTGACCGCCCCCCCCCCCCTGTCCGCGACATTCCAGGTCGGCCCGGTCACTCGCGCCTCTCGTATCGACTTCGACGACCTGGAGGCGACGATTCGACGGATGGAGAGCGAGTGCAAGGCGTCGTGGGACCACCTGAAGGTGATCGCCAAGCACGACGGGCCGACGCCGATGCGACAGAAGATGTCGGAGTTTCTGGCCGACTCGGCGGAGAGGATCATCGTACTGGGCATCATCCACCGACGGGTTAATAACAGGTGGGTTTTGGGAGGATGAGAGAGGGGCAGGACACAGCGGGTCAGCCAGGTATATGTAAGACGGCACAGGGGATTGGCAGAGATAAGGAGAAGTGAAGAAAGCTATGCGAGAGGAGTGGGGAATGAGATAAAGGGGGCCTCCTTTTCATGTATACGGGAAACGAGTGGTAGGCGTTTGCTTTTGGCTGATCACCTGTAGGATTGTGTTAGTGTTGGCAGACTTTGTCTAAACACGGAAAGTCAAGTTTAGCTGCACATGATTATTACAGCCACCGGTATGTTTTAATTTCGATCATCGTTGACTTTATGAAATAAGTTACTTGCAGGCTTTGTCCGTATAACTGTTCACTATTCATTACTGCATGCGAGCTCTAAACTCTTAAGTGTGCCGTTTAGCTAATCAGGCGTTGTGTTGCTATCCGGATCTTTTGCCTAATTCGGACAATTTACACTTTGGTCTGAAGTTCAGCCCGAACCCGCTCTGCAGTTTGCATCGCTCACGCTGAGGGTAGAGACGGACGGCTGGGAGTCTCCCCCCACCTGTTGTCTCACCCTCTCTCCCTCCCCTTCCTTCCCTCGCTCACCCGAGACTCTACCCCTCTGCCAGGTTCTGCAAGTTCCTCTCGTGGCTGGGCGTGGCCCCTCACCAGCTCCGCGACACCAAGCCGCACCACTTCTGTAAGGTGGTGTCCGAGTTCGCGCTCGAGTACCGCACCACTCGCGAGCGCGTCCTGCAGCAGCTTGAGAAGAAGGCCAACCACCGCGAGAGGAACAAGACGAGAGGAAAGATGATCACTGATGTGAGTGGCACGGGCGGGGAATCGTTCGAAAGGATGGGGGGGAGGTTTACTAAGGGACTGACGGATGAGACGGAGTGCCAGGTCTAAGGAGAAGGACCGAGAATGAATGGTGAGGTAGGTGAGATAAGGTCATTGTTGACAAACTCGTCACAAGTGCGTCACTAGGCACACAAGACTTTACCCACCGGCCTCTGCTCTACCTCATGTAGTATGGTTTGGTCCGGTCAGTCTTACCTCCCAAATTTAGTACCGACCGTTCATATACCTTCGCTGAATTTCATCAGCTTCATTGTGCTTCAGTCATGGCGCTCGACTTCATTACCTTATTAATACCGCATCGATAACACATTTATGAATTAATTCCCACCGGAAGCCGTACAACTCGTCGCCATTGACGTTGGTAGCGTACCGTGCGACCTTTGCACCGGGAGGGAGGGGCTCGGTCACACCTCTGCGACCTTTGTACCGTAGTGGCGAGGCTGCCACCCACACTCCCACGGTGCAATGTGTGGACCCACCTGGGGAGGGGCTCAGCTGGCGTCGTCCCATCGCATAAAACGGCTCTAAGAGAGAGGGAGGGATGTGGGGTGTGGCACTGGCCCGTTGGTGGGCTAGCTACCGGGGGATCTTAGTATGAGTGGTCTAGGTCGAGTTTTGCTTGACTTTGCATCGCTGAATGCGCAATGTTTGACACCGTTTTAATATTTGAGTCGCACGTTTTGGGTGCTTAAAATTGCACCGGTGAAATCCGAACCAAAACTTAAGACATTTTACTTTATGATGGCGTCTCGTAGCTGACTACTGACTAGTCTGGTTCTAGTTCAATCCCCCTTGATTGTCCCCATCTGACTCTTCCCCTGGCCCTCAGACGGGTCAGGCGTACGACCCTGCGGGCCGCTCGAGCTCCAACCGTCGGTACCGGACCAAGGAGGAGAAGGCCGACGACGACCTGAAGCAGCTGCTCGGTACCAGTGACGTGTCCGATACAGAGACTCTGAGGCGGTCCATGCACTGGAGGCGGAAACGGGAGAGTGAGTGCCGTGGAGGGGTTAGAGTCGGTGGCAGAGTCAGTCAGAGTCATTGGGGTAAAGTTAGGCAGAGTCGGTGACTTCATCGCCGACTCATACTCAGATGATCAGAAGCGGAGTGACGGTGGAGAGTTCGGGGAGAGTGAGAATGGTGGTCTGATAACGGTGAAGGCTTCACATGGGTTTTGTTTTTTGTGTGTAAATACTGAGGTGGGATATAGTGCAGCTGTACTTTATATGGCAACGGTATATAGTGCACTTGTTCTTAGTACGTCAACACAACACGTGCAGTGACGTCACACGATTTCTGAACACGATGTCTAAAACTGGGTGCGGCGAGGGCTCACACAGATGTAAGTTAGTGTTTATTTCATTTCTGTTTTCTGTCGCAGGCTGTGTGTTTGACGTTTAAATCCCTTATGACCACATGAAAAGCGTACATATTTATCGATCTCGCTGAATCCGGGCTCATACATACAGTGCTTCGCTTCAGTGAAGAGTGAAGACTATAAAACAACCCTGAATCATCCATTTAACTATTATGTGATATATGCTGTTCTTGACCCGCATTGTATTTAACGTAATATAAAATCGTCCAAATAACCAACACCCAAGTGAGCTGACTTTTATGCAACCCTAACTGAAGAAGCATGTTAGAGTGTTATAACGTTAAGTCCAGTCAGACATGCTGGACACCCGTTGGATGTTAATGTCTGACGTGTAATGCATGTTCTGCAGGTAAGGGCAGCCACAACGACTCGCTGACTGACGGCGATGAGATCCTCGAGTCGCTGGTGAAGTCGGCCACGCGCGGTCCCACCACCCGCTCCACACCTAGGGAGAGACGGAGGACGTCCCGTAATGCTGATAGAAAGTCGCGTAAGTAGATGTGGAGGAAGGGAAATAAAAAGGTTTGACGGGCGGGAAGCGGTGACTATGAGTGCTAGGTTGGTTGAGATTGTTCGGTCCGATAAGACTTGTTGATTATGTCCTAGTTGCGAGAGATATGATTGCTATTTCCTAACACGATGGCTTGTCTACGTGTTTATAACCGATTGCAAACACCTGATCGAAAATTCGGTGTTTTAGCCTGTGAGTAGGGATAACTCATGAGAGCAGAAACGGGACGTTCATTAGTTCGTCCGCGTGCGGCACTGATATGCCACCCCTAAAAGAGTGCGTGTTTCAATGGTCCCGCTCTGCCCACCCCCAGTCAAACGATCTCGCACGAGGGAGGACAGTACAATGATAATGGAGGAGTGAGAGCCGCCGTCCGGGGGCGGTAGGTCGGCTGTTTGACCCGAGTGACCCCGCAGAGAGTGACCTGACCTCGAGTGATCTCAGTTTGCCGTGTGTCCTGGTTTGCAGTGACCCTGACCCTTGTGACTGACCCGGGTCTAGTTGTGACATGATACTAGCTTTGTTCTTATGTTACCCTAGCTTTGTAAAATTCCAGTTCGATGCATCCCTGACCTGAGTCCTGAGGCCAGACAAAATTTGTGCTAAGCTGGCGAATTCCTTTGGTGCCATCATGACCCGTGTAGAATAGAAATTTTAGTGTAGCCCTAGCCTTGATTTAGGAGGTCCTTAATCTTGCGGAGACCTCCAGAATCCAGTGTGACCATCCCTTCAAAATAACACGTTACCCTGTGTACTTAGCAAACTCTCCCTGTGTGACCTCATATGACCTGAGTGACCTGTGAGACCCAATGTGACTGTGTGACATTTGTAGCCCTTTGAGACCCTGTATGACCTTTGTGTCATGGATGGTCCCTGAATGACCCTTTGCGACCTGAGTGACCCAGCGCGCCCGTGGCTGACCCACTCGCTGCTAGTGTGTGTCTGTGTGCCGTGAAGCCGCCTCACTGTACTATATACAATCCGCCCTGTATGTGCAGCTATTTGACTAGTTACAGGCTGGCTGACGCAGCTGCCATCCCAGCGCTGCTGTACTGACAGCTTACACAGCCTTTCAGCCCAAAGCTGATTGGCTACCAGCACTAAACCGATCAGCCATAAACGGATATGACGCTCGCTCTGATCAACTGAAATGTCATTAATAAACAGTGAACGTGTAACTTAATCCATGCAGAGTGATTTGTTCAGTTCATTATCAAGGTCTGAATGAGCAGTAATTGATAAATACCAGTTACAGACCTGTATCGGTCGTATTTCCGAGTCCCATACCGGTGTCTGGGGAGGTCCCGCCTCGGCGGTGTGGCGTCCCCGCAGCCTCAGTACCAGACTGTAATGTGATCACACGGTGCATTCGTGGCCCGTAGTGACACCCCGACACCGGCTGCCGAACAATGGGTCCCCCGCCTGGTGTAGGGTTGACCGGGTCATACAATGGAGGGGGAGGGGGCAGAATCATGTGACTTTATCACTAGGGGTGCGCCGCAGTATGTCCGGTGAAAAGGAGGCGTGCTCTCTGATTTCAGATGCTATTCAATACGTTGTTTTGTGTTTATTTCCTGGAAGGTGAACTAGGAGACATACCGTCAGCTATATCTCAGATTGATAGGCTGACGGTTACGATTGCCGGTGATGTTTAGACTTCGTGGCATGAGCTCATATGAACCGGAAGCTACAACGATCGTGACACTTATTACGAAGGTCCGACATTGGTCCCGTCCCACTCACAGACGACTACGTTTCGAGAGTACTACGAGAACGGACCGAAGGTTTCGAGTTCCGAGCGTTTCTCCCAAGGGTCTCAATACCTGCACGCCGAAACTGACACCTAAATCTCCGGAGGATGGTCCCCTGATAAATTAAGGGTTAACTTTAAATTGAACCATAACCCTCTCGGTTTTCCAGTGATCAGTCGACAAAGTTGGATTTGGTAGAACTGGCTGCTCTTTACCAACTGGGGTATGAGTTGTGCCGATCAATAACTCAATAAAACACCTAACAATTTTTGTGACCTTTTGTAATTGTGAGTGCTTTTCCCAATCCCCAGGTGGGACGGAACGGGATACAACTTTTTATGACCGAACATTTCGTGAATTATTTTGTTAGATTGCCTAACTTTCGGTAGCGCTTTAAGTACATAGATGCTTTAGAAGTGTGTTTCGGCGTAAAGAATCTGGAGTTTTTGTTGTATCTTTATCATAAATCAATCAATCGAGCGGTCACGAGCCGGTAACCGGCACAGCACCCATTTGACATTTACAGAGTTTCTGTGACTGTTTCCTGCTCATCTAAATTATGAACCCTTTGACGTGCTGCCCCTCACTTTAAATGCCCACCAACCTGCAATGTCCAGACCAAAGTGCTGCTTTGGTTGACAGTGACCCCACTGCACCACTGGTTTTTTCCCTGTACTCCCCCAAACTCAGCCGTGCGCCCACTGTTAGTATCGTGTCTGACGCCGATCTCTCTCCCCGTGTTGCAGTGCGGAGAACGCTGAAGAACGGTCTCAGCGAGGAAGAGCAGCACTACCTGCTGACGCTGGCTGCTCAGGTGCAGCAGTGCTGAGCTGAGCTGAGCTGAGCTGAGCTGAGCTGGGTTGGACTGGACTGACGGACGCCACCGGTGGCTCTCCTTCCCACACCGCGCCGTAACCTCACTGCCTATGTCATGTCCATGTACCCGCCGCCGCACTGTGAGAGATGTGAGAGGGTGAGGGCGCCGGTACCGAGCCGTCCCGCCGGTGAGAGGGGCTGACTGTCCCTCAGTGGCGTCTCGAGCTCCCATCGGCGGCCTGCAGTGCCTACCGCGCCCGGGTCTCCCAGCGCTGGGCGGTGTGGCTCTCTAGTCTGTGGCCGTATCGGCTGCATCGCCTGAGTCCCGTGTGGAGTCACGGTACACAGGCTGACCATGCTCGTCCACAAATGCCGGCGACGTCGGAGGTCGTGCCGCGTGCCTTCGCAGAACGGCCGTCTCTCGGGACGAGGACGTTTAGGTGACCACGGCCTGGCCAGTGGACGGACCGAAGGCGCGTCCCGTCCGGCGAGGGCGTACTATTTGTCGGTCATGTATGTTCGCCGCGGGGCACGATCTGCGCGCCAGTTATGAGCGTTTGGCGCGGTTTTTGTACGGTATCGTGACGTTATGTCGGTGCGCGGTGACCCCGCGTCGGTCGGATTTCTGTGAGGACGGACCGCGTCCGGAGCATGCGGGCGTCTGTATATACTTTATGCATACATCCATAGACGTGCGGTCGTGTGTGTATGTGTGTGTGTGCGGGTGGCGCGTGTGTGTTAACTGTGATGTCGGGGCGCGTGACTGTGATACCTCTTTGCAATGCGCGCGAACACAGGCCTACACGGCCGCAAATACACTGAATTGTGTCTCATCGAGATGGGCTAGTCTTTGTCATTGGTGAATAAGAGGAGAAGAAATAGTTACTGAGTGCGTTTGTTGATGGCTAGTTATGGATGTCAGGGGCTTCAATTGTCATCGATTCTTGGCTTTCCTGATTATCACATTCACGATCACTCAACTCGGGAACTTTACTTGCCAGTTGCACTTCAGTGGGTCCCAGAATCCAGACGGACTGAAACTGAACGCATGACGTTCCTCACTAACCGCGCTGTGGACAATATAATTTTGAAATCAGAAAGCTCAAAATTTTACCAAGACGGCCAGGTCAAAGCACTCTACAAATAGATAGCCGTTCGAATAAAAACGTCCTGAATTCACCCTTCCCGGGGCTAGCGGCGCCTGTGGGGGCCATTGCAGAAATCCATGCGTCGAAAGCAATGGTTTCTGTCCTAGCAAAACTACGACCCGACATATACTGAACTTTGTACCCTCGTTACTTAATACAACGGTCGGTTCCCCAGCACTGAAGTCTTGAGTCCTTGACACGAGATGCGAGATATCTGACACTGAATCTTCGTAATGAAAACTACGCCATCCTTCAGAATCATATGCTTATTTATAATGTAGATAAAAGGCTTAACGTAATTGTATTGATATTACTTCTTACTAGCAAGGAGAACATAGTGCTCGAGATCATCACCCCTAAAATTCTCGAGAGTACATTATTTGATCAGCGATCAAATCAAGACCTCAAGCTGTTAGCTACAAGTACACACCTTATAAGCCAGCCACGAGCCAGGCCAGGTCAGCTCACTGTCGGATCCCTGCGCCTCGCTTTAGAACTTTATTTTGCGATCAACTTTTGTAACTTTTTCCCTCCGGCCTCCGCGACCAACAGCTTCTCGCCTAAATTACAGACCACTGACACTCGTTGGCTCGGTCACTATGTGGCACAAGAGCGAATCCGTTTACGAAAATCAGTTTGCGACTCGGCGTCACGAAGGCTGGCTGATTGTTCGGCCGTATCTGGTGGCACCAGACTGCAACTGCACATTTTTTTTTGCGCATTCGCATATCTGTCCACCGTCTGGTATTCTCGCTACAGCTACAGGAGCCGGGAGGATTCCGTGATTCAATTAGTTGAAAAGTAGCTGCTCTAAAAGTCAAAGTACAAGTAGGTAGGTAGGTACTTCGAGACGGGCAAAATAAAAACCAAAGTCTGAGCATACAAACTGATTGAGTTTTAAAAAAATTTAGCGTTTTTCATATGAAAATATTTTATTTTTTGTATGAAACATAGACAAACTTGAGGAAACACTTGTCCTTTCTACAAGTACCAGTACTTTCTCACAGCTCAAGCGGTGCTCGGAAGATGCTGTCCATCACTACGGTAGTTTTGATCGAGAGGTTGTGGAGTGTGGTCGCGGAAGTACTCTCTCCGATTGTGAGTCGCTTTAACTGAAGTAACGCATCCACTAGCTTCATTTTATCCAATCCTGAACTGCGAGGAAGAGCTTATCAAGATTTCGTTCAACAAAGGTATTGTTCGTGGCTTGTTAATCTCTTTCTTTGCTGTTTTGCAGCTAATACAAACATTGCGCACCTATGACAAACTTCTCATCCCATCTTTCTGGCTATTTTTAACGATTATGTGCTGTCACCCTCATTTTAAATAGCAATTTACATTTAACTGATGATACAATATGATACCATAAAAGTCATAGCATTAAAGTGGCATTGGCGGGAAAATGCCGGCAAGATTTGTTTTGAAGCCGTATTTGACTGATGATTAGGATTGCTCTAAATGTCCCTATTTTTCTTGCATTTCAGTATTAATATAGTCTGTACAATTTCGCCCAAATCTGGAAAATTGATCATTTAAAATATGGGATTAATTAGTTCCTAGCTTGGGTTTGTGTAATTGTGTAAAATCGCAATTAATAAACCTTAGGTGCCTTACCTTGGGTGTACATAGTATTTGGAGGCCTGTTGGACCGATTATCCACTGTATGTACTCGGCATTCGCTCATGTAATCGGTGTTGATCATCAAATGTTTCCCAAATGTACCTATAGTTTCACTTTCCTGGTCATGGCACCTATAATTATGAAAAGGTTATGTAAAGTAAAAATATATTGTACACAACTTTAATGTATTAAAGCTAGGATAAAAATGTTTTTATTTGTAATAATCAGATGTGAATCATCAAATAATGCTATGGTAATTGTTACCTAGCTAATTTGAATTATCTTAGAACACCATTTATTGAATGGCCTGGTGTAATGAATATTCAGCTACAAGCAAATCATCATACTGCCTTGCAAAGGCAAACGCAATTGTGTTAGGTCAGAGGTCATTACGTCAGGCCAGAGATCACCTGGACGTAAATGTTTTTGCCTTTGCACAGCAGCAGACAGGAGCTCTTTCCTTCATAACAATTAACTTAGCATTATCATTACATTGGCATGTCTTCTCTTTCCCAATAGTAAGTTAAACTAGGACTTTCTTTGCTAACTTATATTTTTCTGATTATTTATGACATAGATGAGTGATCAAGTAACTATATTCCCCTGCATCCACAGATAGTGTCCAAGAGGGAGCCATCCAGCATGCTGGTGGACCACTTGGCAATGGAACAGACACAGCAAACTATGTTGTCCCGACCAGGTCGCAAGAGGCGTGCACGGGGTAAGTGCTGGACTGTTGTACTGTTCACTGTGCTGTATAGTTACTGGGCTGTACTGGGCTGTAAGCTGGCCAACTTTGTTACTTCATTGTGCTCATTGTATTCTGTGGAAGAGATGGTTGAAGGCATAGTATTTTTGTTTTTGTTATTTAGTATGTGTTGCATTTGAAGTTACATCATATGATACTACTGATCTTTATTGACTATTGAGGTAAAACATAAATTATTCATGTTTACCTAGGCAGGTCTATTTCATTTTTCTTTTTTGTGGATTGGCTGGATTTAGATTCAAGTATTTGGTGATTGCTGAATGCTGCGTGTTCAATCCATTCACCCGGAGTTGCGTTTCTCTTGTGCCTTAAAGTGACCATCCCACCTTAACATTAGTTTTGAGTTGAGATAGCCAAATTGGTGGCCATGGCCTGCAAATACCGGTTTGGGCACTCACAACATCGAAAAATGCTTTAATTCGGAGATATGGAATTTCAAACTTGCAGTTTTCGTATTCTAAGGGGCTAATGCATTGAGATGCCCCCTTAGAATTTGTGACGTCAGCGGTGATCTAACGATTTTGAAACCTTTTACTAAAACGTTTGGTAGCACGCGGTGGTATATGCTGCTTTGCGCGCAACAAATGCCGCACTTTCAAATAAAGTCGCTAGAAACAGCGGAGATACCAAAAAGTAAACAAAAGTAAAAGTCTAATATCTTGAAAACCGGTGAATATTTTTCGATGAAATTTGGTAGATATTCGTTTTCGCTCTTTCTGAACCGAGCGACATCACTTTCATGCCAATTCATTAACTTCTTTGAAGGTGGGAGGGTCCCTTTAATTGAGTTGATAACTGACTTGTGTCGTCTCTGATTTTCAGTGAGCGACATTTCCGGCGCGGTGGAGCGTACCAAAGCGCCGCGGCGTCAGCCAGTGCCGCCGGCGCAGCGTATTACCAAGCGTAAGTACTCCACCCTCCTCCACTTTATCCGCCCCTGACCAACATCGGGCTCAGTGCACTTCCTCTCTTGGGTCGCTGTCTGCCCTGCTTATTACGTCTCACAGCGGTGATGCTGTTGTTTACGATATATACTGTTTGTCTGCACCGGTCGCTGGTCATGTGACCGGTGGATCGCCGCCGGAGATGATCCGGAATGTGTTTGTCACGTGCCACATCTCCGGGATGGTCACCAGTAACGCCTGTTTATGTGTCGCGAGCTCGGAGCGCCTAAGGCCCGAAAACTACGGGTGCGCGGTGCGCAGTGCGCCGTGGCTTTCGCGTCTCGCTCGCGCGCGACTCGCGGCAAGTGGCCGTGGTCAGGAGAGGCAGGTGCTGGGACCGGTTTTGTTCTGGAACGTGATATTTTGTCCTTTTGCCCTTGTTTATTTTATGTCTTGATTATTTATTTGTTGAACACTCACTGCTGGCGTCGTAGAGAAACACGAAAAACTTGTTTGCAGGGGCCAGCTTGCGAGTTTCGCAGAATGCAGTCATCAGCTAACCGCATTGCGTTTGTGTTGCAGCATGCAACTTTTTATAATCCCTCCAAAACCTGGACCTCATATTATGTCATGTGAAGGGATGCGTCGTAGTTGAGTCATGTAAAGACTTTGCGTTACTTTCAGTAATATATGATATCATTTGTATGTAATGCAGTAATAGTCTGCTCTGCGGATCGGTATTTCATTCATTGCGTGCCAATGTCGTCATTAGTCTGATCATCACCAAGTCCTCTGGTTTCAGCTGATGTCCTGTCTTGTGGCTGTGGCTAGCTATAACGTAATGGCTTCCGATGACGTTTTCCGTTGAAACCTGCTCCGTAACTAGGTAGTGTTTCAAGTCTTTGACCTGCCCTCTTTCTCGATCTTCCGCAGCCGAGCCCGACGAGGACTCGGGCCTTGGTTTTGACGACCCTCACGAGGCGACGGCGCGCGCTGCGGACACGGCGCACCTGCTCCGAGCCAGCCTGGTCGGATCGGTGAGTACCTACCCGGTTATGGTGGTGGGTTTAGTGAGGAGAGGTGGCATGACTAGCGTCGAGGCTTGTCCTGTGGTGTAGCAGCTGACACGATCTCTAAGGCTGTTGAGTAAGATCACAACATTCAGCGATTGGACCCCGGTCGACCGGTGGCACCAGAACTTGTGTTGCTCCTTGCTTGACTGTTTCATGTGTTTGCCGCGTCTTTTATTATGTCCTGCTGTATAGTACCGTAGTGTGTTGTAGCGAATCGAGTACTTAGCATTTGGTAGTCAGGAGGAGGCTACTCTGAGGGTATTTTAGCTCTTTGTTCACTCAGTGTGAACAGGCTCACCTCTCACTCACTAATTGGCCGATAGCTGTGGTGTGCCGTTCCCAAAGCATGCCGTGGGTCGGCCGCGGGTACTACCGAGCTCCCACAGACCGCCGTACTACCAACTACCACAATACCACGGCTGGCGTGTCCAGTCGGCCTGTGAACGCCCACCAATTTGCATATGCTCGACGCGGTAGGGTGGGAGGAACCTCTCTAACGCCGCGTTAATGAGACGTTCATGAGCGGGTAGGCGCGGAACGGCTTCTAATACAGCCGCAGGACTGTACTGCCGTGGCTGAAAACTCCAACATTGGTTTATTTGCCGAGTGGTACGGTGGTTAAGTGAGTAATGGCTTCCGCCCGTGCCTGGTGTCGATACAGAGCGGTGAGATATTTGAGGCCTCCGAGGCGCTCTGTTCTAGGGCGCTCTCATCAGCGGTATATGCGGGCACCGAATCGCCCTCAGCCCGTCGACGTATGGCCGGCCGTATACACCAGATCCGGGCTGTGTCCGGCCTGGTCGATGACAGCCCAGCGCGGCCGGTTATGGCTGGCTCGGATCGGGCGCCCACACTGGCACATTGATATCGCACCATCTGTGTGAGCGCGGCGCCGACCGGTTCGCCAAAGGTAGCTCACCGCGCGGCGGCTCCGAGCATATGCCTCGGTGGTTTCATTAAAGCTCTGTCACCGCTCACTGGTCGGCTGCAGCGCTGCGCTGCTGTGCGGCTCTATCAGCTAGTTCCCGCCGGCTCAGTGCAGCTGATGTGACCGGCAGTTTCACCGTCCCTGGCTAACCGGCCAGCGCGGCGGTGGCTGGGAGATGGTTGGCAGCAGGTGCTCACATAGAAGAAGCGAATCTCCTAATATGACTCTCCTGAGGCAGGGGCTGGGATGTCCCGAGCTAACCTGCTCTGTCACGGCGCTCAGCGACAGCCTCCCTCTAAAAACTCTGCCCGGAGCGGCGGTGTAAAAAAGTGACGCGGACCGATTGGGTCGACTCTGGCCCGGGGGCAGGGCCTCTGTTGTGGGGGCGCGACACGCGTCGCGGTCCGCGCGGTGCCGCCACACCCCCGGCAGAGGCGGCGTCAGGGTGGAGGGCTGTGGGGCGCAAGGTTCGGCATTCGCAAGGGACGAGGTCACCCGAGGACCAGAAGCTCATCTTCGGACCAACGAGAGGTCACGTATGAGACAGAAATGTCACCCTCTTGGTCAGATTGTCCAGGAGAGGCACCACCACGAGCCAGCCCTCCGCCGCCCGCCGCCCTCCCCTCTCATCCGCCTGGACGCGGGCCTGCCGGCGGCGATCACGCCACCGTAGCTAGTGATGACTCCGCCGCCTCCTGTCCGGCCCAGAGCGGGAGGGTGGCCCGCTCTGGAGGCCCGGCCAACCGGTCCGCAGAGCGGTGGAGGTGGGCGGGTCACCCGGGGGCGGGGCGGTTTGTGATGGGAGGACTAACGCAAGCGATGTGTATGTGAATGACGCGTCAAATTCATCTATTGACTGGAAGAAATATATTCTGGCGACATAATTCGATCTGGCGTGGATGACTTGCGACCTACTGCGTCCTGAGTCGACTGCCAGGCCCGCTGTGGTCCACCGGTCGCCCCGTTCTCCCGAATCTAGCCGTGTCTTTGAGCCAAACTCCGTGCGTGCCTACCGCCCAGACCGGTTTGGTTACATGGCGCTGTGCTCTGTCTTATTTGGGGACGGGGCCGGCCGGCGGCACAAAGAATGTGTGTGAGATCGTCTGAGTTACCAAGGTCGCACAGGACTCCGTGCGTCTGCGTGCCAACTTGGAGCAATGTGAACGTCCCTGTCTTACCCCTTCCCTCCTTGCGGACGCCGCGAATTCTTGGAATTGCAGCCGTTGCTAGGGCACTGTCAGGCTGAGATTCACCAGCAGTTTTTCTTGTCGCTAGTGGTTCAGTGGTCACTGATACTGCAACGCGTCAACTGCGCAGAATTTGAGGAGGACTCGGAACATTTGACATGTTCGGCATGTGCGTTGCACGGTGACATTTCATGACTGAATTATTGCGTCAGTCCATTACCCCAGGACTATGTTTGGACTGCCGCTGCCCACAGTGCCACAGCTGCGTATTGCAATACTTTCCGGTATGGCCTGGCGCGCGCTGTCCCACGCGGCCGTCGTGCGCACACCGTCCCTGAAGCAGACCGGGCGGGCCAGTTGCCAAAATAATGAAACAAGCCCCTGTGTGCTGCGTGCAGGCCGGCCGGCGGGCTCGGGTGCGTTGGACGACCGCACGGCTGCCGACCGTCTGTCACAGGGAAGGTCACATGTCGGTCAGCAGGCGCACGGATGACAACGACCAGAGACGGGCCTTTGATGGTCCGGAATCCAGATGGTCCTGTCGGTCTCAGATGGTGCTGGGTGGTCCCGGATGGTATTGGATGGTCGTTGCTAGGCTGGGCCTAGATGGTCCAACCTGATCCCTGATGGTCGCTGATGGATCATGCTGACTCCGTTGTGACGATCTGAACCTTTCTGGTCCTGGTTGGTCCCTGATGGTCCTGCTGATTCATTCTGGCCGAGTCTGGTCTGGTCTGGTACGGTTGGTTCCAAATGGCCGGATCTGGTCTAGTCGGGTCCGGAAACTTGGACTGGACGGTCTCTTCCTTTGAATGTACTGGTCAAGTGACGTAGGCAAGCTGTTGGGACTGACACGATTCCATCCCGCTGGGTCCATCTGCAGGGGTCTCGGGGGTGCGTTATACGCTCAGACCCGACCAGCAGAGGGCGACAGCCGCCCGGCTGGCGCCGAGATGCGAAACCACGTGCCTGGTGCGGCCGGACCAGGCCACCGGCCGTGGCTAGAATGATAATAAACGGCGCGCGACGGCCGGACGGCTGAGGCGGCTGGCACGAATCGGCTGTATTGGTTATCCGTTATAGCATCGCTCCGCTGCTGCCTGGCTCAACGCTCGGTATGAGCCGAGTTACTGCTCGGCCGTATTCTGGGTCACTGTTGGGCCCTAACTTGGGTCACCGTTCAGTCGTTTTGGGTCACTGTTCGGCCGTCACGTGGGTCACTGTTCGGCCGTGATCCCGGTCCCCGTTCGGCCCCAACTCAGCCACTGTTAGGCCCTAACCTGGGTCACTGTTCGGCCGTGATCCCGGTCCCTGTTCGGCCCCAACTCAGCCACTGTTCGGCCGTCAGCTGGGTCACTGTTCGGCCGTGATCCCGGGTCACCGTTCGTCCGTGAACGGTGCTGGCAGCGCAGTGGGCCAGCGGGGCCGAGCGGCCGACTGGGGCTGCCAGGGACCACCGACCAGACCCGCCCCGGGCGGTGCAGGCTGGGAGGAGACGGTCCGAGGGTCTGTTGGTCTGCCGAGCGCCGACAGCAGCGGTCGCAGTTAATTTGTGGACCGCCGACCGGCCAATGGCTCTGGCTGAGCAGTGTTGCATGAAGCGATAAACGGCACTCGGTGGCGAACGCCGAACAGCTTTGGTTTGGCAGGGCCCGACGCGGGTTGGAGTGGCCGTTCGGATAGTAAAGTAATCTTGGTTCGGATAGGGGCGCCTTATTGTCTGATAGGATCTGAAAGGGATAGCGTTAGGTAGCTAAAGTTGGATGGTCCGGTGGAAGAAATTCGTTGAGTCTGATTCACGAACAGGACGGGCGAGTTGAAAATCGTGACTCCCTTAGTTGACTTCCCATGTCAGCTTTTGCGTTCTTAGGAGCTGTTTGCCCCGCGCCTCGTCTGCTTTTTGTGCCGTGAGCTTGCCCGGGAAACCCGTACGCTCCGTGACCGCCGATACTTTATTACCGGCCTTCATTCGTCATTTGTGGCCATTAGTCAAGTTTCTGCCGTGCCGAGGCGGATTTGACGTCATGGGGGGTAGAACCAGAGACCACCATGGATGGCCTCCACAGTTGAGTTAAGCTGGGCTCCCTTAGTCATCTTTTCCCAGGTGTCGTTCAAGACGTTGCGCAAAATCAACGGCGCTAGATTTAAAATCGGTGTTGATTATATCCGGCGGACGCTTGCCGCTTGGTATTGGCTTGATCCATTTAAAACTTTTGCTCCATTTATCTGTTGCGTAGATCAAATTGACTATAAAATGCAATGTAGCTAGCGCCTACGCCACATACCATAACGTTTTTGAAGGTTTCTGGAGACATTCCGGAACTTGTCCCCGTTTCGCCAACCCAAGTTGAACCAACAATAACTCCTGCCTATCCACACATCACTAGAGATGTCAATCGGATACCAACTTTTTGGTATACCGATACCAAACCGATGCCAACTCGGTATTTGGTATTTCAATCCTAATGTGTTTGGTATTTTGTTGGTATCATGAACCCTCGCTTATGTTTAAGAGGCCAAGAAATCGGTAAAAAGTTGGTATTTTCTTCATGTTCCCAAGTTGGTTTGGTTTCGGTATTTCTCCACGGTTTTGGTTGGTATTTGGTTTGGTATCGGTATTCCGATTTTCCGTAATTGACATCACTACACATCACCCTCGTCGCTGCATCGATTGCTTGACCTGCACCATCACAGCAGTGTCACCGGGGACGACACGACACGACGTGCCCACCCCTTTCCTCGCACCCGTCCCGTCGCGTCCTGTCCCGTCCCGTCGCGGCTCTGACGACCGGCGGACGGACGGGTGCCTTGGCTCAGCGCCAGAGAGCGCCGGTCGACCGCCGCGGGGC